ACACACACACACACACACACAAACACACACACACACACATATCAACAAAAACAGCAACAACATGAACAATAACAACAACAGTAACAATAATAACAACAACAACAACAACAACAACAATAACAACAACGATAATAACAAAAACAATTATAACAGCAATTACAAAAGCAGCACCAGCAGCAGCACCAGCAGCAACAATAAATAACGCTTAAATTGCTCACAGTCAACGATCCATCTCTGATTGGACAAAACCAAATAGGAAAAATAATGTAAAGTGACTTTTCCAAGGACACAACATCGGACCATACTGGGGGGGTTATAAATAATCGATAGCTATGCTGGATAAACAATATTGATGAAAAGACGAAATAGATCTAGTACAATGCAGAAATAATCACATTTTTTTAATGGGGAAGGAATAAATGAATGATTAATTGAATGAGGGAATGAATGAATGAATGAATGAATGATGAATGAATGAATGAATGATGAATGAATGAATGAATGAATGAATGAATGAATGAATGAATGAATGAATGAATGAATGAATAGGGAAATGAATGCATCAAATTAATTACATATGATTTAAAGAAAACTAAATCCGAATAAATGAATAAATGAATGAATGAATGAATGAATGGAAAACAAAATCCGAACGAATAAAAGAACAAGTTAAATGACGTAACACCATCCCGTCTTCTATATTCCTTACAAGATTGTCCGCGGCACATTCCTAGAGCCTGCGACTTATCCCACTGATAGTGCATGAATGAATGAAAGAATGAATGAATGAATGAATAAATGAATGAATGAATGAATGAATAAAAGAATGAATGAATGATTAGAGAAATGAATGCATCAATTAATTACATAAGATTTAAAGAAAACAAAATCCAAATGAATAAAAGAACAAGTGAAATGACGTACCACCATCCCGTCCACTATATTCCTTACAAAGCTGTTCGCGACACATTCCTAGAGCCTGCGACTTATCCCACTGATAGCTGATAGTGCGTCCTATCGCCTGGTACAATGTGCAATGTACACCGCTCCCCGAACCGACAAGTACATAAACTGATAAACCCCATTATGAAGGGTCAAGGGGTGAAAAACAGGCGATGTCAGTCTTTGGATAATCTGCGTTGTGACGTGGGTTGGAAGTTATTTTTTACGTAGACGTCTATCGCTTCTTCTTCTTCTTCTGAACTATCCAAGTGTCCATGGATAAATATCTGATGAGTCACCCAGTAGCAGGCTTAGAAAATTAATTTATTTAAAGTATAATTATGTATTCGTTGAAAACGTAAACTGTCAAGTACATCATTTCATTTTTGGTCTTCCCAAAATGCTAAAAGAGAACGTGCCATCCTTTAAGTTCTTCGTTTGTTTTTGTTTTGTTTGTTTGTTTTTTTCGTTGTTGTTGTTTTGTTTTGGAGGGGTTTTTTGTCGTTTTTTATTTTTTTATTTTTGGGGTTTTTCTTTGTAAAGGTATTTTTCCGTCCATCATGATACGT